GTAATTGAATGAAAATCTACGGCTGACTTTTTGAAATAATGCAGCTACCAATTACAAACGAATCTTTTATTCCCGCGAGTTTGAATCGCTGTAGAATAAACTTATTAAAACTCGGGACAAGTGAAAATGGATTATGCTGTGATTGAAATTCTTTCTGAAAATAGGACTTGGGTTGAATATTTCATTTCATTCTGAATTTATAAAGCAGACAAGTTTATAATATTGGTATAGGTACACCATCAATTTTGAACCAGTGTATACAAAATTAAAATCGATCACTCTCACTCACCTAATGTAATGGAAAGTTAACCAAGTAAAGTGTAATCGTTGGGGATTTATGTAAGGCGCGTTTCTAATTTGGTATTAGAACAAGACTTCCAAAACTTGACTTTTTTAGCATTAAAATAAAACATTTTTTATTATACCTCAATCACAATCTCCGTTTTGAACATTCAAATGCGTGCGAAAAAACGCACGCGCTTTAAAGTTGCTAAAAGTAATGATATAGTTGTATGATTCAAAATCTGGGGCCGAAATAAAAATTTTTTTTCACTACTAGCGTCTGATGACATGATTATTAACCTTTTTTCCACTTGTAAAGTAGGCTTTCTCGGCATTTGTTCAAAGTGGTTAATAATGTAGACATTATTAACTAGTAGTCAAAAATGAGAACTGTCACGCTGTCCCTTTTAGAAAACACAACCCGAAATTTCGCTCAATAAACGTTTGGACAAGTTCCCTAAAATGAATAATTGCCACCATCTGCCATTTCCACAAAAATGACATACCTAAAATTATCACATTTTGAAAAAAATCGAACGAAATTACTCTTTGAAAATATCTCAATGACAGAACAAAATACGGTCTGTTTGACTACGTACTTGATTGACATGTTAAATTAAGAAACAAACAATTCTGTCCAACCGTTCACTTTCTTATCAATATAATATGTTAATTTACAGGATTTCAAGTGCTAGTAGTGAAAAAAATAGTATATATACCACGGTAGAGAAGTCTATTATTGCCTTCGCACCTTACACCCCTCGGCGCAAGCGCCTCGAGATGTAATCTTGGTGCTCAGGCAATAATACTGTACTTCTCTACCTTGATATACCGGGTGATCCATTAGAAGTGATGATCGCTTGAATTTCGCGCGTAAGGTTTTAGTATTTTTTGCATTATTAGATTGACAGTTTGAATTTCGTTAGTAATTTTTTTCTGTCATGACTGTCATTTAAGAAACCAGTGTCGCCGTTAATTGTTGTGTGCTATTTGCGGTTTATTACTTTTTCCATTTTGAACAATTTTTAGAGTTGATGCACTAAAATATGTAAGAAACATGACTGTGTCTAGTGTTAGTTTATAATTTGTGGTAAAACAGAAGCAGTATTTTTAGATTATAAATAAGTAAACGATTTCCTGAGAGCATGACGATACACCACTGCAATTAAATAAATGATCATCAGTTAGTACCAACTTCATAATAATTTTTGATTTGCGGGAAATTCAAATTGTCCTCCCTTCTAATGAATCACTCGGTATAATGTACTATTCTTAAGTCGCGTTTTGTAAATGCAAAATATTTCTTTGGTTTGAAGCTTTAACAAACTCGCGCAATTTTGGGTATGCTGCCAAATCTGTTAATCGCAGCATTGTTTGAAGTTTTGAATGAATGCACCCAAGGATATAAGATTTAAATACCTTTAACATTTCATTTCATTAACTGTCAAGATTTTTCATCTCTGAAAGCATTAAGCGAACTTTATTATTCATACGTCAGATCCAAATTGGAGTATGGGTCTTTGATCTGGAATCCTTGTTACGACACGTACATCTCGTCTATTGAAAGAGTACAAAGAAAGTTTTTGAAGTACTGGTATTTAAAAGCGGAAGGCGTTTACCCTGAAAGGAATGTTAAATATGGTGTACTTCTGGAATACGCTGGATTCGAAAGCCTATCTGCGCGAAGGAGGTGTACAGCAATGGCATTCCTATATAATTTGTGTGACAACTTAGTGGATTGTCCAGAATTGATTCAGCAGTTAAAGTTTCATGTGCCTCGACAGCAATCCCGAAACAATATTACGTTCTTCTGTCCTAGAGTGAAATCATACACTTTATTAAGATCCCCAATACATTTCATGTGTGACACATTTAATAAAATTAGTAATGAATGTGATATATTTACCTGTAGTAAGAACTATATTCTTGAAATAGCGTCTAAATAATTCCTAATATCTTTGCGTAGGTACTTTATTTTCAAATCATTTGTTTTTTTTTGTTTTTTTTATATTATTTGTTTCTGCTGAGTATTTTTTTTTATCTTTATTTTTTTGTTCTCACTTTTAGCGTTTATTACTAATCTAAGATTAATAACTTTTCTTTATGTTTTTATCGCCTTTGTCCTGTAAATGGGTGTTCCTGCTGGGCAAATAAAGCATTATTATTATTATTATTATTATTATTATTATTATTATTATTATTATTATTATCGGTGTTTCTTGTGAGAACTCAGGTCTAGCCTGGTTAACTAATCGCACGGATTAAAATCAAGTAACGATTAGTGTCTGTGTCTGTGTCTGGTGAAGTTATGTAGCGTCCTTAAAAAAAAAAAATTCACACACGTACATTGGACATCTAGGGATAGTATGTAATTCGTACTTACCAACATACCTATTGATGGGCACAATAGCCAACGCTATCAGGAAAGAGGAAAACAAAACAAAACAAAAAAATCATTATAATAATTCCTGTAATTTTATTAAATGGAGTTTATTGTGTAAGTGTTTCTTTGGCTTTGCGTTTAGGTTGAATACGAGTGGGTTGTGATAACGTGGTGTGCTTCTGTGAAGAAGGAGTTTTGTGTTTTTTAATTGTATTTATGGTGTTTCTTTGTTCCTGAGGTCGTATTTGTGAGGTTGCTTGGGTTTTTGGTGGAGATATTGCAGTATTTTGTGAGCCTGTGTTAAGGTTTTTGCGTTTCGGTTATTATTATTATTATTATTATTATTATTATTATTATTTCCTTCATATATGCCAGCATTATCGATTCATTTAACACTTTGTTCATAAGTAGCTTCCTATTCATCCACGAATATAACTTTTCAATTCTTTATAATAGGCTTTACTGGATTTTGATTTTACACCTACCAACTTTTCTGTAGCTGCCTAAGTGCCCATTTTTCAAATTTCATTTAAATGCTTTCATACATAAGAAAGTTGGCACGTTGGCATGTATTGTTTATTTTATTTTGGTAATTGTATATGAATTACGTGTTAAAAGACTCGATTTGTTCAGTTATCAATTGTGTACGTAATATTTGTGAAAGTTTATCTCGTGTTTTTCTCAGATCGTAGATAAAAATAAATAAATATCGCCGCGTAAGCCAATTAGTTTCAAGATAAGGACCAAGTTTTTAACACAGTTGCAGATTATTTCAAGAAGGCGCATTATTTTGTAAAGGAAGGAAGCAGAAATTAAATGGAAAGGGAAGGAAAGTGTTAAATATCCAAAGCGAACGTTAATCGAGGATCTTTTTTACTGGAAGACGGGACTCGGTTCTTCTGGACGTTGAAGTGAATCCGAAATTTGAGCGTATTTTTTTGCAAAACAGTTAGTTTGGTTGTTATTGAGGCTTTTGAAGTTTACGAAGAAGTCAGTTGTAGTGCAATAAGAAGATGGAGCCACCAATGCAATGGTATAAGTCGAGTTAAGCAAGTGTGTGTTTTACGTTTACGAAATTTCCTAGTCCCGATGTTAAAGGAAGTTTTCTCCGCCATTAAAGGGTCAATACTATAATTGTAATTACGAGGTTAGTGTCGTCTAAATCGAGATTCGAGTGCTATAATAAGTATAATTGAAGTTTCGAAGCAATATTTATTTATTTATTTAGTATCCCCCTCTTGTTCTGGGCCCTCAACAGGCTTGCGCCCAATTACAGAGTGACCCGCATAATGCTATCACCTGGTGTTTTGTGTTTGTGCGTCAGTTATTGTAAATCATAATTACAACCGGAGATTTTGGATTATTGACACTTTAAGGTAATTAAGATTGCTATTGTTCAATCCATCACTTGTTGCGTGGTAAGGGTTATTCTGATCCTGAGTGCCTGTTTTCTTACAGCCTATTTGATTTTTTTATGTCGAATAAACTGCAAATGGTTGGTTTTGTGATTAATCGAACGCAAATTACGACCCAAATATGACTTCTCAAGTTAAATTTTTCTATTTTGTACCCAGAATTTACATCAGGTATTAATTGAAAATTTGTTAATTACATTAAATTAAGTTAATTCCCCAAATTGATAAAATTTAAGTCAATGTCGAGGCTCGTCGTGGGTGGTGGAAGCTAGACGTTACCTATAGAGAAATAATTATAATTATTTCTTTTAAGGATTTTGTTAGTGTACCCGTATTTAATTGGGCTAACTGAACAGGTGTTTGTGAGCGGTTTAGTGGCTGTTTGCCAAAGTACCTAGCATTAGATTTGCATTGTCCCAATATCCTTTCTTAAACAGACGCTCTTTCGTACACAAAAATAAACAGCAAGTCTATAGTTTGTGTAGAAAGTATAGTGCACATTCTTTTGGATCCAGCTAAATGCCACCCAAAATAATTTTCCTTGTAGCTTTGTGCTTTGTGTTAAACAAGAATCTTGTCGTCATTATTGACAATTTATGTTTCTTAGATTCTCTCAAGTCCAGGTCAATCAGTCTTTGATACTTCGTTGTCTGGGTACTCATCTGTTGAAGCAACATGAAAAAACCGACCCTAGTGCCCATAATAACTATAAACAGCGTCTCTCTGATGCAATCACAACAAACCCCTGACTCTCTATAATGATTCATGTAGTGAGAACTTCCATTGTTCTAGCATTAATAATGAATGGTATGGAACGGTTCTAAAATATACCCGACACGTTTGGGAAACGACAAGAAAGAGGATTAGCGGCTCAGACAAACATAGTCTACCTGAATGTATTACAATACTAAAATACTTACCCCTAAATCGATGTAAGTAATGTATATAGGATACGGTAATACTAAGCAGAGTGCTGTAAGCCATGTTCCAATTACACACACGCATGCTGGTAGACGTGGCTTCGATGGGTTGCGAACGTAACGTAATCGGTCCCACGCAATCAGTAGGAATGTTAAAGTGCTCGCATGTTGAGGGATGTCCTGTAACAAAAACGGATTTTCTTAAGTATTATTGCTTAAGTGAGTGATTCGCTATATTTTCATTACAAAACTTGACAAAACGTTGCACTAAATAGCCCGTAAATAGCTTAGGTGCGAACCAACAATTTTGTTGGCCATATTAGACTTTGTAAATTGTTTGTTAGCCAAGAGATAATAATTTGGTGCAGTATGTGGTCGTTAATTCATCACGTCATGTTTTGACCAACCTTGTGAACCCCCCCCCCCCCACCCCCTGGTGATACGTGGTGAGTGGTGAGCTTTACCACTACCCCCTCCCCCTACCTCCGCCCTAAAAAAATCGGATGCTTAATGCCTGAGTCCGATACAAATTCATTCGATTCTATCAAATTTTTAGAACTGCGGTTTAATTGCATCAGGTAGGCGTAAACATTACTGTAAACAAAACTGGATGCAAGCGAAATTCATCTTAATTAACATTCTTTGACGTAGGTGATACGACCTAGAATCGCTTAACCGTTGCGGTACCGTATTTTGTTCATTCTTATTCCACACGTCAACAATAAAGCGATGCAGTTTGTTTAATAGAATTGTTTATGTTTAATCGACGACGTGAGGTAAAAAAAGTTAATTCTGCATTTAGCGGAGTTAATTACGTATCGGAATAGTAATAACGGATCGACTATAGTAAAATTTGTGTTATGAACTAGCCGTTGGTTATTTATTTTGCTAAAGACTTTTCGAGCTCACTTAGAAAGTCAAAATTTTATTTCGAGATGGGAGGTTCAACCCCTTATATCCAAAAAGGCCTATTACATTGTAAACGAGTGGAGTTTTAATTATATTTTATTGAATTTTCCTCGGTAACAGGATATTTTAACTTATGAATGTTTTGATATAACCCACTAATTCCAAATGATTTCGGTTTTCCAAAAACTCATTTATGTGAATGTTTGCTATCCTCTTCGCTTTTCATTGTTGACACCATTCAATAATGTCCATCCCACACTATAATTATGTGCATAAAACAACTGGAGATGCAAGTGAGAGATGTAATGGTGTACTGAAGGGACGATTTCGTTGCTTATTGAAGTATCAAGTTGTTCATTATGGTCCGGAACACGGAAATATAATAATGAGAGTTGATAGATACGCTGCTGGAAGAATTGTGTAAGTCGGAAAACAAATTGTAAATTAAATTTGTTAGGTATCTACCTAAATGAACTTGCCCACATAGTAAAAACACTAGAAGGCGTTCACTTTTTAGCGCGTTTTTGAAAAAAGTAGTGCTTATACAGGCTGATTCAAATTCGAGGACCACCATGGGATCTCAGAAACTGTAAGAGATAGGTCGGTAGTTTAAATTTGGCAAAGTTGCGTATTTTGATGTTTACTGAACAAAATCCGACTACTTTCGGAGATCCTGAAAAAAACGAAATTTCGCAAAATCGTTTTTATTTTTTACCGGGGTAATTTAAAAAGATATCTTTGTTTGACTTTCAGTCGAAGTACTAATAAGTAGATGATGGGTATAATAGGTGCACGAATTGAAACTTCACCTTGGACCAATGTCTTTTAAATTACTTGTATGGTAGCTACGATTTTTTGTTTCACATTTATTCTGCTGCGAGCATATTGCCATGCGCAAAATCGAACGAACGCATTATGAGACAATTCACACCTGTGATTAGAACTACATTTCCCAGGCTATCCCAGTCTTTTGTACACCCCGACAGACAATTTAGGGGTTCTATTATTCTATTCTACTCATTCTCAGGATCGTTATAATAGTTAACTGATGATGATAATTTACCTCAAATAATTGTGAATTATTTTTGCGTACTTACTCCACCATGCCTTTTATTCGGGCGCATTCAGCCTTTTTTTAATAATTTCAATTACCACCAACAGAATCACACAAGGGCAGAGAAGACTAAACTGAAATAGAAAAGTAACTTTTATAAATAAATCAATTTAGTAGGTACCTATTTCAAATTCAAACTAATCTAGTTTTATGACTAAGTACTAAATAGGAATACGCTCATGAAATTAAATATTGTCAAGTATGAAGGCTTCGTCCTCTAACTAAAGGTTTTTCATTAGAAATAACTTCAAAATGTGCTGACGCCACAGAGAAGCTAGTTCCATAATAATTCTAGCTTAGGTGTTGAAGAGAATACGACCTACTTTGCAAATGGTGCAACAAGTTCAACGTGGCAGACAACTTATATTGGCATCCTTTTTGGATGCGGTAAGTATGTTTTGTGACATTTTTAAATGATATTGCACTCAAAAATACTATATTATGCAAGTTTTATAAACGACAATTTAGACACGAGTTTTATGATCGGCACGAGTCCCAGTGTAGCGTAGCGTGTGTTTAATAACGAGTGTTCAGAGAAGTTTATAAAACGCTTTGCATACTATACTTTTTCTACGGATCAAATAAACTTTTCATTATCGGTTTCTGCGTCCATTTTTGAAAAACAGGACGAATTATGTTCAATTTAATGACAATGCAATAAACGTCAAACTAAGAATTTGATTTAGGCCTAGATATGTCAACAAAGTTCAAGCCGTTTTCAATTAAACTTCTTGAAGCGTTATATTTTCCGAAAACACCCGCATCGGCACCAATCCGTTTCTCATGAGCAGTTGTATTTAAGATGATGCTTCGCACCGAGCTTCGCACACTATACGAGTATGTCAGTACAAGATGTGAAATTTTAAAGATGGGAGTATAAAAACATTAACATTACAATTTGGTATAGAATTATTATATACCGAATTTATTTACTGCGTATCTGAATAGTCTCAGTGCTAAGGCAAAGTAAAAAAACATCCGATATAACTGAATACCGAACGATCCTCGAGATCTTCGCACATACCTACGTCATTTTTACAACACACCTTAAGGGATTGATTCTATCCCACCAGTACAGCATAGCTTGTAAAACAAATTTTTGAATAGCATTAGTTTTACGTTTATTCGAGGTGCATACATACATAATTTCATACAATCCGGTTCCGGTTAATAGGTAACTAACGGAGATGTCAAAAAATCAGATTGCGCATGCGCAAAACCATTTTTTTACCGACATCAGTTTTACTTTTTTGAGGTGCCTACGTATAAAATTTTATTTAAATATCTTAATAGATAGAAAATTGCCATTGCGCAAATACAAAAGTTGAGTTGTGCATGCGCATTTTTTTTAATTCATCTGCATAGTTACCTGAGGTTTAAGGAATATTTACTAACAGAAAACCGGACACGGGACATTGATATGTTCTTTGTAACAAGAATTATAAAAGCAACTCTGTTTTGGAGGTTTGGGCAGTTTTTGAGCCGAAAAATAATAGCGGCCTTTCTTATATCCTCAAGAACATGTGTAGGTATCAATTTTCAAAGCGATGGACGTTTCTACACAAAGTTATCGTACACACGGACAGACAGACAGCAACACAAAATTATAAACGATCTCGAGGATCGTTAATAAGTAGAATATAACTACGATGATAGCTGAATTAAGATAATATTTTTCTTTTTCAGTCCTATCGGAGATTCTTTTCTCGAAAATGTGTCAACTGTAACAGAAAATCGTTAGTATTCATGAATATGAACTGACAGCGATTTTAACAACGCATAATGTGAAATGTATGCAGTTAATCTAATGTATCAACATTGAGACAGTATTCCAATTCATATAAACAGTTCATATTTTCACTGCGCGGAAGTAGCTTCCGATTTAAAAAAAGAGGGAGGTATTTCAAAATTATTTGTATTTATTTAAATACTAGGTAGTAATAGTAATAACATTGAATTTATAACTATCAGAAGCGCAGGTTAAATGGCAGGATATGTGACTGTTTTCAATAGTTTAAATTACAAGACGTAGATGTCTCTACCATCGAGAAAGATGAATAATAATGTCAGTTTTTTTACCTTTGTTAATTATTATACAGGAATCTGTAATGAACCCACTATCTCGATTTGTAATTGTTGTATACAGAATTCTAGATACCCAAGAAACGTACTTATAAGGCATTTATGTGGCACACGGGATGTTGAATGACGTAAGATAAACATTCTTCCTTTCATGAATCGTGACCTTACTTAACATTCCTTAAGGAAGATTGAATTACATTTGAACAGGAAAGCAAAAATACGCAGGCATCCTTGATCACTGTAACAGAAATTAAATGTACCTACCTATCTATTCTTAATTTTTGTGTGTGTCGGTTAAACCGTTGCCACCGGTTAAACTACCTTAAGACAGGGGTCGGCAACCTATTGAAACGGAAGAGCTAAAAATTACAATTTACAAAATTTCCCAATTCTTAAAGAGCCACAAATAATTTTTGATTCAATATTATAGTTTTTGGCTATATACAGGGTGCTGCAACAGTCCGTCGGTTTTTCCTACATAGCTGATAGATACCTGGTAAAAATATTGGTGGTTGCGGATCTACAGAAATTATTTTTGAATGTACAGGGTGTTCCATTTTTACGATGTCAATTAATAACTGATCTTTTTAAATAGAACATCCTGAATATTTGGTTGTTTCAATGCCGTTTGTTCAAAGTGCTATAACTATTCTTTTTCAAATGGAACTACCACTATTTTATTTCGCTATTCGCTTTTGTCTTCTCTTAAATGTTTATAAGGGGTGCCCTGTGCTTAAACTCCGCAGTGTTTAGGTTATTCAATATTTTTCACAAAAGTACCTACTCATTAATTAATTACGTGTTTATACATCGGAGTAGGCTGGCTATAATAAAAAAAACAAAAGAATACCAGAAAGTAAACAAGTGTCAAAAATTAGATAATTATTTGCTGCAAGTATACTTTTGATACAAAATAAGTATTAATTAAAAAGGCGAATTTCGAACAAATGAACTAATTTCTTTAGATAAATACGGAGAGCCGCAACTTTATAGGTATCAAAAGAGCCGCAGGTTGCCGACCCCTGATCTAGGATCACAGGTCACACCTGGCAATTTTGATACAAAATAAAAAGGT